CATTGATGTATCCAAGCTACAGGCCAAAGATTAAGTGAGTCCAGTTCAGATCTGATCTGTACAATATCAAGAGGCCAGCGAGGTGAAGTCATCGCCTTTCCGAGTCTCATAATGTACTTTAGTAATTAAGAGTGGGATGAATCTTTCAGGAGAAAGGGGGAGGAAACATGTTTAATCTTTGCCATTGTACATACCTGAGGCATGACATAAGAGCAAACCGCCAACATAAAGCAAAGCAGACTTTTCCAGAGCAGGGAAAAGCAATCTGCTGGATCACTATGAGGAACTGTTGACAAGGCGAGATATCAATCTGGTCAGTATTAACCACCCCTCCTCTGAAACTTTTGAAGATGGGCCGCCTGCCACTGGGCAGGAGGCACTTGACACACGTGTTTTACGACATCTAGGCCAATCAAACCATCACAAGCAGTGAGGCTTTTTATAAAAAGGCCAGGCGGTGCTTTTGGTTTAACTGCAGATTGGAGGATACGGACGGTTTAGACCTCAGCAGGGATCTATGTACTTCACGGCTTAAAGAACTATGAAGCTTTCCAAGGTGCATTAATCCACAGTCCTCTCAAACTGAGAGGATCTAGAGAGGCACTCTGACCATGAAGAAAGATCTCACCTCAAAATCTCCTTACAAAACCATGCATATCCAGCAGAGAAACACACAGAAAGTTTCTAACACCAATTTCACACCACAACCTCCACTTGGGTGCAGTTTACTGGAAATGGCAGCATGAAGTGGTAAGTGGTCTCAGCAAACTTATTGGCTAGGGGTCTTAAACATGATACTATGACTCGTTAAAACCACAAAACTTTTACTAAAGAAAGTGCCATACACTTCTACCTGGCGTCTCATTTGCTTTTAAAGACACAATTCGATTTTAAAATATTTTCCCTTCAAGGGTCAAGGGTTGTAGTGAAGTATTTAAGTAAACATCATCATTCATTAACCACATTTGTTGGAAAAATAGCTAGAGGCTGTAAGAGGCACAATTGTAAAGGAATCATTCCAAACCTGCATGCATTTCTTTATATAAAAGAGAATATTTAAAAAAACTTTTGACAATACAGTGAAAGTCAAAGAACATCCTTCAACATATAAAGGCTTGGAACAACATTAAAGTGAGTAAATGATAACAATTTTCTTTACAGTTTTGGGTGAATTACTTCTTTTATAAAAAGGCTTCTTCTGAAAATTTCTGACTAACATTTAAAGACATAAATAACATTACAGGAAGGAATTTGTGATGGAAATGTATGATAATAGACCAAATTAATCCCTCATTTTAGGTTCACTTCCAAATAATGTACAAAAAGCTTTTAACCCTAAGATCTCAAGATAGAAAGTTGAATCATCTTTCCACTGCAAAAGATACTCGCAGCTGCAGGAAATCTTGCCATGTTGGATGCCGTGCCTGTGAAAGCCATAACATTCTAAACTTCTGATTTATGATACTAACAAAAGCAAGACAACATTCACGTGAACAGGTCTTTGAATGAAACCACCGGTTTGAACAGGCTTTCTTGACTAGCATGAGTCACACGAAAAATGCTTCGGTGTATAAATAGTATAATACCCTTACTGATGAGTCGCTGGAACGCAGAAAAATCATCATGCATGGGATGTAATTTTGACCATTTGCCTGATTCGTGCTACGTGTAGGACTGGCTCAAACCATGAGGATGGAATTGTGCTTCAGGACTACAGAAGAATAAAGAAGACATGTTTTGACTACAAGGTGAAGAGGGCCAGCTCTGAAAGCCAGAAACGTGGGGCCACTACCAGTTCAATTAGATTCTCCTGTGGACCATTTTCTCCCTAGCAACAGGAGACATTGTTAAGCTAAAGCAAGGTTTTTTGTGCTTCCTTTTTTGCTTTCTAAGGACCTCCACCCCTCAGTGACAGCAGACCTTGTCACTTTCTCTGTATCAATTATCTCAGTCTCTTATTGACAAAGGCATGCTAACTAAGGCTAGCCTTGCACAGGGTCTCGACGCATATTGTGCACCATTGTGAGAGGCACACGCACATTGCACCTAAACCTCTAAACGAGCCTTTATAATTCATTCTTTAAAGCCATCACAACAAAACTGGAGATTTGACACAATAAAACATGACAAATGCAGACATGTTGGGGAACACTCAAAGTTTGCATTTCAATGACACCTCTGGGAAGACAATGGACCTGTTGGGCTGGTGTAAAGTAAGGAAAAATTAATCCTCAATTGTTCCCCTTCACCTAGCTGCAGTCATGCAAGCAGGTTTAAAAAAAGAATCACAGGAATACACTAGATCAGGGTTCCTCAAATCTTGCCCTGGAGGGCCAGTGCGCTGCAGAGTTTAGCTCCAACCCTGATCAAACTCACCTACCTGTGATTTTCTAATGATCCTGAAGACACTGATTAGCATGCTCAGGTGTGTTTGATTAGGGTTAGAGCTAAACTCTGAAGGAAAGTGGATCTCATGGGCCAGTTTTGATGATCCCTGCACTAGATATTATGCAACAATTCATTCTGGCCCTTAAATTTGATTGAACAAAGTTTCAAGAGTACAGATATTTAGTTTATATCACCAAGCCTGAATGTGTTCCCTGCGTTCTAGGTCAGAGTATGTGAGCGGAACGTGGCTAAAAGGGACTGATTACAAAACACTAAGCAGAGATTAGCTCAAATCGATCAAATCACAAATGATATGATGTATTGATGCACAGCATAAAACAATATATGTTTTTTCCCCATTACTTATTTTTCTATACTACGCTTTTAAAAATAAAGGTTCATTGGCATCTAAGGTTCCATGTAGAACATTCTATGGAACATTCCCATTGCACAAAAGTTTCTTTATTGTGGAAAAAGGTTATTTGGATTATTAAAATGTTCTTCACACTCAGAAAAAAAATTATTTTAAGAACTGTTTGCTGAAAGGTTTTTTGGGGAACCAAAAATGGTTCTTCTATATAAATCTATATCTATATAAAACCCACTTTCGAAACGTTTATAGGGATACAGCGTTTGCAATGTTCAGAGAATTTAATTAAATGCTCATGTTATATTTTGGTTACATTTGTGAGTTCATAAAAATGTAAAATATGCACATAATTGTTTGCAGGCCCCTGAATATTCAGTTCAATTCAAGTTTATTTGTATAGCGCTTTTCACAATGCAAATCGTTGCAAAGCAGCTTTACAGAAAATTAAAGTTTCTACATTATATTTAGTATTAGCTTATCAGTGGTGACTATCTCAAGGTGATGTCCATATGGCAGAAATGTAGGTAAAAATCAAGCAGTTAGTTAATGTCCTGTAATCAAACAGACGGTGAACACTATTAACAGCAATGATTATATGTTGCGATCAAACTTATAGCAAAATTTGGTCGTTTTGTATGTTGTCTTCTGAGGGGTTGGCATCATCTCTTCTCAGGAATATAATCAAGTTGAAATTGCATTGCGACATGCTTTGGTACATGATGTATTTGCAAATGCTATATTGAACTGATGTCAGATTGTATTGTGAATGTGATGAACTGTTCGAAATTACAACCCTAGTGAGGACAAAGCTGTCACTCCACTCCACACATAGACTCGGCCCTGAATTGCTTGATAACACTCAAAGCTTGACACTTTGGCTTCTTTGGTGATGTTTTCACTGGTGGAGAAGAAATATACAAACACATTTTTTTGTCTGAAACGCAAGTTAGTCGATAATAACTACTTGTATACTGTAAATAATTGTAAACTGCTGTATGCAGTCGTGCTGTTGAACTGAATATCAGCATGGCTGATATTGCTTAACACTTTATAAAGCATAGAGCATGTCCTGCCAATTTCAGATTTCTAGTGAGTTTCTTTCATATCTTTGCATTTGTTTATGAATTTGCACAATACCGTGTAGATTCAACGCCTTAAATAAATAGAAGCATAGAAGAATCCTTGATTAACTATTCTGACTGGCGTCCGAGTCTGGAAAACTTTCTCCTTTATTTACGGGGAAATAAGACCGTGATTATAGCCAAACTGTGTCCTGAGGCTAGTTTCTCCCCCTCAATACAGGCCTTGAAGTGGAGCTAAAAACTGCAACTTGTTACGCTCCCCTGCCCCCATTCCCGCTCCAGATAAAATCACTGCATTTACATGAGCATTAGCGCTTCTGAATGACAATCACTGTCCGATGACTGACTCTCGCTTACAATGACAAAGTACGACACTTTGAAACAAAGACAGCAGCTGGGGGTGCGGAGAGGAGGAACGACGGAACACTTGTAACTATAGAAATTAAATCACGAGCTGCATCCCGTTTTAAAAGATGCAGTAACTGCCTACTTACAATCTGAAATGCCGTAACGTTCATGTAGCTGGAGAAAGAGACTTAAAGGGACAGTTCATCGAAATCGGTCATGCACTCAAACTAATGTTTTTCCAAACCTCTATAACTTTTTACTTCTGTGGGCACAAAAAAATATGTTAGGTAGAATGACAGTCCCACCGTTCACTATGATTGCAGTCATTTTATTCATGTAATGCAAGCGAATGGCGACTGAGACTGTCATTCTCCATAACATCACTTATGCTCCACAGAAATAAGAAAATAACTAGTATGGAACAAAATGAAAACGTGTAGACCGTATTTTAATATTTTGGTGATTTTTTCCCCCTTTAAATAGCTACTTTAAGTCATAATTGTAAGTAATGTGTTAGTCACCTTAAAGACCTAACAAAATCTTGAAAGCAATCATTTTGAAGCCAATATGAGTAAAAAAAATTAAAAAGCAGTTTTAAAAACGACAGAAAATCAATATGTAGGCAGAGATAAACTATACAATTTATGCACTACCTACCTTGACGATTTACGTCCACTCTACACTTTTATGTAGCCTATAATTGTGTATTTACATAACTTTTTGCTTTTAAAATCTTGGTGTTCAGATTTTTCAGAAACATTTGATTTCCACGTGTCAGACTAGTTTGGGTTAATAAACCCAGTGTAACTCACCATGAACTCCTTTGTTGGGAACATCGTTGACGTTGAAACCCTTCGAACTGTAAGCAGTTCTGACTTCATTGCAGTTCTTTGCCTTCTGGTCAGCCTGAGCCGACGCCAAAACCACCGCCGACATACATACAGTAAATACAGCGATCATCTTCATCGTGGACTGCTTGAGCAATCGAGCCGCGGCAGCAAAAAGTAAAAAAAAAAAAAGTAAAGTCACGAAATCTCTTCGATTCGCACTTCTGATTTCCTCATGAGGATGCGGCGTTTCTGATCGGTGTCTTTTCTTGAGCAATAAAAGCCGGGCCTCTGAAGAACACCGAGCGAAACGATCCCGCAGAGTGTAACAAATAAAAAGAGTCCAAAAGCAACAACAAACAGTAAAGTACTCAAGACTTTGCGCTCTTCGTTGCGACTTTTTTTTAACGAAAAACAAAAGCAAATCTGCGCTGCGTCCAGCTCTATGCACGCGCACACATGTTCAGTGTTGTAAAGGTAAGGCACTTCTTAACCAGTTTCTTCGGTTGAAGAGATCCGCGAAGCAGTTTGCTCTGTAGGAGGAGAAGCGAGAAAATTGCGATTAAAAAAAGTTTTAAGAAAGTTTTCCCCTCTCGCGCTGGTGTGCAGTCGGGACGCAGAGTGCAAATCGAGGAGTCGCTTGTGCGCGCGGCGAGATCTCAGTACAGAGTCAGGACTGCGCGAGCACGCCGCTGAGTTCCGGACAAAGAGAGCTGGCCACGCGAAACACGGGGTGGAGCATGGAGCGCGCAAGAGGTTACAGTGACTTAGGATATTAAAATTTTTAGTCTGCCAGTACATATTGTTCAAATCATTCCTGAACCGAGTAGATACATTGTTGACATTTCACAGGCGTTTTTGCCACTTTAATTGATGGTTAAGAGCATATCTATCTATCTTATCTGTCTTATCTATCTATCTATCTATCTATCTATCTCAGAGCTGGGAAAGCCAGTGGCCAATGAGAACCTGTGGAGGGGTTCTAGGGTCCGTTGATTGTGGATATGAGAGAGTGGACCTGTGTTGCACTCAATAGAAAACAAAAGGTGAGAGCTCTTTTTCCCAGAATACTTAGTAACGGACAGATCCACAGCTCTGTGAAGTTACTGCATGAAAAGTGGTGTGGCTAAGGTTGTACAAATCTGTTTCATGTTCTTGCCAGTTCATCAATTCCTGATTGATTACACTTAAAACTCCTGATATTAAACATTTTGCATGATCTGAAATATAATAAAATATAATTGTGTTAATACGTTTTTTAAATACATTTCAATCAGTGTTTAACATTCTAAATAAACCACAGTGAATCACACTTAAAAAAGAATGAACTTAAATTTGTATTAAATTTGGGTATTAAATTTGTGATTAAATTGACATTTAAAATTATGAAAAAAGTATAGATGTGATGAAGTCACTAAATTAGTATATTTAAATGATTACAACATTATATTTCTGAAATAATATACATTTTAATTTATTAAGTTTACTAAATGTGATTAATTCAGTAAATATTATATATATTTTTAATGATTTACTTTTAAATTACTACATTATTTTTTTTCCTGGATTTTACCAACCATTGTCTATTGGTTGTATATTTTTTTCTGGCATCCAAATATAAATTTGCAAATAATTGGCAAACTATTTTAATTTTGTAGTGTACTAGATAAATAATTCTTACTCAGATTAAAAAGAAATATAATGCTTAAATTAATTTTTGATGCATTCGTTTCTGTCTGGATCGGGGTTTTCTGTACATCTGACCATGGCCATCAAAAACTATTTATAGATTCTGAATGCCCATAGAATAAGTACATTTCCATTTACAAACCTAAATTGATTGTGCACAATGAAATTGTGATATGTCCTTCAAGATGTGTGTTGCTCTAGCTTGTTTTAATTAACAAAATTGATGAAAATCCATTTTTTTGAGTGCAATATCATAGTGGCCCATTAGTATGGAGATGATTTTCACCCACAAAATCACAAAAATAGCAATAAACTAGTAACAATTTCTGTAGAACACAATTAGTCTGACTAACTGTGCCACCCTAAACAAAGAAGACCAGTTGGTCCTAAAAATGGGGGATCCCTGTATAGCCACTGTATTACCCTAAGAAAACATTCAACCTGCGCATTTCAATGGGCCTGTTTGCCCATTCTTACTCGTCCATTAACATTCAGAGTGTAACCAACAGCCCTGCTCAGCCCCTCTGCTGCTCTCTCGCCTGATAACCGGCCTCCCTTCACTGCTTTAGGAGAGAAAAGACCAGAGGACGCAACAGGATCTGAATCTGCGAAAAACATGAGTTTGAAAGAGCATAGCGGCCTTGAAGTCAGATTAGGTTAGTAACAAGATAAAGTCTGTTAAACACACCAGGGGGGGTTGCTGTGTGTGTGTGTGTGTGTGGGGAGGGGTGACAGAAAATAAACACAGACTAAATAAGGTTTAATTTGCAACTGTAGGTGTGAGGCACCACAGGTGTGTCTGACAGCTTTAGTCAGCTGAGAGGAGATCATCAAGACAAAATGGAAATGAGTGGAGTTTATATGCTATTCATTTGCCTTCACTTTCTGTAATTAGGTCAACAGGCATTTTTTGATACTACTGAGACACTGGATGTCGAAAAGACACCCCTCGACTGGTTGGAATGAGAATTGCATACAGATACACACCTCACGCACTATAGTACGTAACATTAAAAACAGCGGTTTTATCTCCATGAAGACAGAATTTCACAAACAAACTGTTAAAACAACACCACAACTGCAACTTTAACATTTTATTTGATTATCATTTACATGGAAACTTTTTAAATTAAAACACATGTACTTTATTGTCACAAATAAACAGCATTTGTACTCTGAACGTTCAGTTTTGACCTTTGAAAAGCAGTATTGACCACCAAACATTCTGTACACTGGGTTACCCAGAAGAGCAGGTACAGACAGGACAGTTTCTCCATTAATGTAAGGTCTGAGTAACTGTACCCTGGTGTGAATGAAGGGCTCCATTTTATCCCCCTCCCCCGTTGCTCTGGTTATTGAACGGCTCAAGCCAAGCTCAAGTAGTCAAATGTGCCAAATGGCCCTTGAATGCACACCCACTGTGCAATCAGTACCAGTATAAACAGTATTACAGAATTCAGAGTTTAATTACGGCACTCAACACATTCCATTACTGGCAGAAGCACATCCTTCATTTAATGCATACTGTATGACAATAAGCTATTTGTTTCAATTAAACTGAGATTTTTGTATATCAATCACTCAGCCATAGTTTGTTTTTAAAGTTTGTATGTTTTTTTTCCCCTTTCAAACTGAATGTATTATGCCTCCTTGCAGCCTAGGGTTTATATTACTTACAAATTTACATAAAGCATATTACTGTAAATATTCAGTGCCTTGCAAAAGACCTTTAACCAGATATCTTTTTGAATAAATAAAGTTGTGATATTTTTATTTGTAAGCACTTAAACTCAAATGTATTTATTTTATATACTGTGAAATAAAAGGAAAGCTCAAATAAACAGAACCTCTAAGTTTCCACAGATGCAAAACTATTGCTGCAACCAGGACACAATTGTCTCACAACTGGCCTCTACCTGTGACTCATTAAAATAACCACCACATCAATATCTAGGCTGTGAATGTGAAGGACAGCTGTGAAAATGAAGACAAAGGAGCATTACAGAGAAATTTGAGCTAAAGTAAAGCAAATGTTTGAATTAGAAAATCACCACAAAACATTAACCAAGCGTCTGGATGTCCCAGTGGGCACTGTTGGCACAGTTACCAGTAAGTGGGGGCTAACTCAAACCATCCAGACATTGCCCCAAAACAACTATCCCTCAAGTTGCATACTCTATGCATGAACAAGAGAGCTGTGAGGTAAGCTACAGAGAGGCCAGTGATCAGTGAAGGTGCACCAGTCAACCATACCAAGAGCTCTACGTATCACTGGCCTGTTGGGGAGAGGGGCACAAAAGCTCCCATTACTCCTAAAGAATCACATAAAAGCATAACTGCAGCCTGGCAAAAAGCATAATATTGACTGAGTTGCAATGTGTGAAAAGATTTCTTAGTCAAATGGGACTAACATATGTGGCATGATATGTGTGGTGTAAAACACTAAGAAAATACCATTCTCACTATGAAGACTAGTAGTGCTGTAAAGTCTGAGTAAGGCAAGAAATCATTATTTAGTCTGCTACAAAACTAAACTTGAGAAGAAAATCTTTCTTCTCATCTTTCAGCAGAACAGGAACACATGGTTGAATGATGTATCATGGTGATACAAACTCTACCCTGCAGAAAACTTGTGTCAGCATCTAATTTCAGCAATTTGATTTTTTAAATGTATTAGTGTAATGTATTATGAATTATTAAATGTATCAGCCAATATTCAATATTTAAAGGGGTAATTCACAGCTGGCAAGATGGGCTTTTAATAAAACTTGGCTGTCTATGCAGTAGAAAGGCAAAACATTTTCTGAACTCAGTGCTACAACACTAGAGAAAAATAGCTGGGAGTTTTCTTTTTGGTAAAAACTCACATAAACACACATAATTCACTTTTGATTTCGGTGCTGCCCCTCTGTTGATCCAAGTGTCCATAGGCGGGAATATAAAAATATTATAGAAGTTTAACACTATAAAATAATTATTAAAGGGATAGTTCACCCAAAAATGAAAATGTGATGTTTATCTGCTTACCCCCAGGGCATCCAAGATGTCGTTCACAACATCCGGCGCGTGACACGTGTACGTGCTCTGGCATAGTAGACATAGATATATATAAGTAGATGCCTCATTAGTTACTGTTTCTATGGGCCGCGATACGTTCCAAAATGGCGGACGCATTGATCTGGAGCAGACGAATAGGGCATCTATGCATATCTATGATAGTAGACGCATGTGCGGAAGCGATCTGTCACGCGTATACGTCACTCATTATTTACACAGTGCAGAGAGATTGCGGACGTGTTCACTGGCACTGCGAAGATTTAAAGATATTTAGAAGTACAGGTCATCACAATGGAAGACGATTTTGATATATCATCAAGCAACGTGGAATTTTTTGCCCAACCGTATTTATTTGACGTCACGCGCCGGATGTTGTGAACGCACTCAGGACAGTTGGACATTGCGGTGGATCAGAGGTAAAAAATGATATAAATACTGTTCAGTTTCTTGCACAGACCGATCGTTTCGTGTCTTAAGACCTCAATGTATCGTCACGAGCCGCAGGGTTTAATTTGGTTTTGTCTGTGTATGTTTTTTTTGACTCTCAAAGCCGTGGAGCCCATTGACTGCCATTATAAGACTGACAGACTGCAACGGTTTGAGTTAAAAAATCTTCGTTTGTGTTCTACTGAAGAAACAAAGTCACCTACATCTTGGATGCCCTGGGGGTAAGCAGATAAACATCAAATTTTCATTTTTGGGTGAACTATCCCTTTAACCCAAAAAAATGAAAATAAGTGCTGAAAATTTACTCATCCTCAGGGCATGCAAGATGTAGATGACTTTGCTTCTTCTTTGTTTCTTTCACAGATTTGGAGAAATTTAGCATTCCATCACTTGTTCACCAGAGGATCCTCTGCAGTGAATGGGTGCCATCAGAATGAGAGTCCAAACAGCTGATAAAAACATCACAATAATCCACAAGTAATCCACACAACTCCAGTCCATCAATTAATGTATTGTGAAGAGAAAAGCTGCATGTTTGTAA